ACATTGTTGGTTCCTGATGGGTTTACTAAAGTGTTTGGAGAAGGGGACCCTTATTATTTATTTATCTTGTGGTTGCACATAGTAGCAACATAGGAAAGGAACCAATGCATTTGGATTCAAAGTTGATTATGCAAGTCTATTGGGAAAAGGAAGACTAAAAACCAAAACAAAACAACTCCTCCAAAAAATACCCCCAAAACCCAAAAGCTAGGATTGTAAATCATTGTGAGTGTGAGTCCAGGGACCCATCCCTGGCATAAACTATGATGAATTGGATCCAAAGCCACTGGGATCAAAACATGCCTTGACAGGAGTAAGAGGTAGTTAAGAGAGCATCTGATTTCTAAGATGAAGACTATTAATGTAAATAAATGTTGTAATCCGAAGTTGGCAATATCCATTTGGAAGTATAAATTTTGAAATATTAACCAATTCCACTATTTTATAGTCATATGTGCTTGATAGTATAATTTCAAATATTTTTATGTAAAAATGTCATTATTAAGAGATGTGTTACTCGTAGAAATCGCTATAAATTATCAGGAATTAATGGAGGCTGCCATAAATATTGTTAAGTATTAGTTTGATTATGTTTTTTCTTGTTTCTATAGTAAACAGAGAAGCTCAAGATTTTTAAAAAACAAAACTCCCAATAGAATGTCTATTACACACTAAATTTTCTGGCCTGCATCAAATTTATCTAACATTCATATTGAGATAGAAGTCAAATGTAGTTATTTGAAGCTATCATGTTTAAGGCCATTGGCCTAACTATATAATAAATTCTGAGGGTAAAGCATCACACAATTATGGGGATAATACAAAAATCTATGGGTTGATTGAGTAAAGAGTAACTGAGTTACATAGGGCTTTGCAGTGACATGCCATAGAAACTTAAGGTCGCTTTGCCAATATTAAGGTTGGTACCAAACATTCTGGTGTATTGACTGAAAAACTTATGATTCCAGATGTGTCAGACAACTTCCCAACTCATAGTTGGGAAGTTGAATCCAAATCCCCAATGTGATAGTAATAAGAGGTGAGTGGGCCTTTGGGAGGTGTTCAGGTAATGAGAGCAGAGTCCTCTTAAGTGGAATTAATGCCATTATAAAAGAGGTCCCAGGGAGCCTACTTATCCCTCTGCCAGGTGAAGACACAGAGAGAAATCACCATCTATGAACCAGGAGGCAGGCCCTCACTAGAACTCAATCATGCTGGCAACTTGGTCTCAGACTTCCAGCCTCCACAACTATGAGAAACAAATTTCTGTTGTTTCTAAAAGCCACCCAGTTTATGGTATTTTGTTATTGCAGCCTGAATAGACCAAGTCTGTTCTCCCTTTGTGCATTTCTGTGTCTAAATTTCCCCTTTTTATAACTACACCAGTCATATTAGATTAGGGGTCCACCCTACTCTAGTCTGACTTCATCTTAACTAATTATATCTGTAATGATCCTATTTCTAAATACAACCACTTTCTGAGGTACTGGGGGTTAGGACTTCAACCCATAACAGTCCCTATGTTTATTCTTTTTCTAATACTAGGTAAGATAGAATAATTTAAATGATTAGGGATCATTAATTCTGTCACTAGGAAATATATATATGTGTGGAGAGAAACAGAAATTTTTAAAAAATGAGAAGAAAATGGAACAATAATTCCATGTTCTCAATACTAATTGCCTCTAACAATCTCTAACATTTCTACAGTCTTTACTCATTTGAAGCGGCTGAAGTAGATGATTGGTCCAAATAAAGTCTGTCTTTTTCTTGTGAGTCTAATAAGAAAATACATGTTGCACAGCTATTTAATATCATCTGGCATAAAAAATGAGAAGAAAGAAAAAGATAAACTGTTGCCGTTGAAATATGCTGATGTGACTACTTCTCAGGAGACGTTGGAGGATGGGGTGCAGAACTTTGTGAGATGAGGAAACACAATTGCTGAAACTTACTTAAAAATCTTATTCAGTTTCATTTATTTGCTGCATGAGAGTAAGCTCGAATTGCAAAATGCATTTCATGCCCAGTATTCAATGCATCAGGAAAGCAAATAAGATATTGTCCATACCTTTACTTACATGCAATGCCACCTTGCCATCTTTCAGTGTTTCTCTTTTGTTTTTCTCAGTTGGAAAGCTCCCTAAAACAGATTATTTTAATAACATGTTTATAGATATTGGCTTGAAAACCACTGATGTCTGATCATATTGATCATGTCACTGAAAAAAATGACTATCCAGAACTCTGGTGTTTAAACACCTGACGTTAAAATATTTTTAATGTTAAATTGAATTGATGTGACCTATAACCCCAATGCTTTGGATAAGTATAAAAATCAGTCTTTTTTATTTATAATACCTCATGAAACACTGGTTTTAATTTACTTCTCCTTGAAAGACCTCTCTGAGAATATTTGCATTGTCAGCAGCTTAAATGAACCACAGAAATGATAACTAAATAATGTAGAAAATTGTAAGATGATTTGGGCATTTAAGATGTGTATAAGGTAATTAAAACCAAACTTTAGGAGGGTTAAGGCCACACTGAAGTTGGTTATTTTATAGCTGGGGTCACTGCTTAAGTTGTACCAAGGCATATGTTTAATTTACAGTTGTAATGAGGAACATGGGATGTTTTGATTCTTCATTCGCTGTGCTCATCTCTAGAGGATGCAATTGCCTACATTAAAAAATGAACATGGGCTCTTTTGTGGAGGATAATAAAAACGTGTAAGATAATACATGCCACATGCATGTATGGTTGGCATATGGCTTTTCTCTGAGTGTGGAATTGTTGCCCTTAGTTGCTATCACGGAGCAGGCTCGTGGAAATGTTCACTGTTAGTCATTTAGGAATGAGACTAATTCCTTTGATTTCATTAGTTTAATCATGATTATTTCATTTTAATTGATACACAGTGTTTATAAAGGTGTTTTCAGTAGATTATCCACTTGCAAAGGCATTTTGTGTTTTTTTTCTTAATCTGCAAAAGGAAAGAGAAATGCAAGTTATAAAGTTTTCTTTTGTCACATGTGTGTATACAAGACAGTAAAAGACATAAAGCAGGTTTTTTTCCTTTTCCTTTTTTTAAATTTTATAATTTTTTTAAAAATGAATGACATAGAGATTTCAGATTTTTTTTTCTATATGTTGATATACTTGAATATGCTAGTACATACTTGGGATAAGCTTAGAGAAATACTTATAACATCATGTTGTGATATAGGTTGATATTTAGCATCAGATTTGGGCCCTACTCTTGGCTTAAAACAAAACAAAACAAGTATAACCTTTCCATTTTAAAGAATGTATGAACAAGAAAGATCTTGAAGTCTCTGTGATTTAGGCAAATAGGTGAAGAATATTTTGAATTGGTGAAAAAAATACGGGAATAAGAAGTATGTTTGTCAGTAGTCTCATTTAAATAGATGTAGCTAACAATCATTTTCTTTTTGCACCTGCCCAGTGCTGCTTTCTACTTGGTGTACCATTCTTCACCAGTCCCACGTGTGTGGGCTGCCAAAATCGGCACCTTGCCTCTATGTGGTCATGTGACTGAGATTGGCCAATCACAACCAAATTCCTTGTCATACTGATTGGTCTAGAGATTGGTATGTTATCTAAACCTGGCCAATGACAGTAATACCTAGGATGTTGCCATTTTTGGATCTTGAGAAAAAGAAGCTTTGGATTTCAGAGTTGTGAAGAAGTAAATTGGAAGCAAGCAGCAGCCAACCAAACAAAGCCAATCAGAGATAAGAGGAAATGAGTGTCTGAGAGAAAGCAGATCTGTGTTGCCTCATTTCCCAGTTCTCATAGAACTCAAAGTTCCATTTTTTCCCCAGCATACTTCCAAGTTTGACTCTTTCTTTTAGTTTAAGTTTCAAAGGTCTTGTCTAATGAAATAGACAACAAGAACTCTTAATCAACATGGTGTTTGTTTGCATGTATATGTGCTACTTCTAATGTACTAGACATCTTCTCTTAAATATTTCAAACTTCCTACATATATCTTTATTTAGACAAAGTTTGGACCAGCTAACTCATTCACTGATATGGAAAAGGTCAATTTTACTTCACTGAATAATCATAAACCCTGAATTAACAGCAGCTAAATTATTAGAACTGTGCAGCATTAATGCCAATCCTTTTAAATTGTGTTCATAAAATTGCTTGGGCCCTGGAAACAACTTGCATTATTATGTATTTTTTTCTCTCTACTTTCAAATCAAATTCGTTGGCCTACTCCATCCCCTTGAAATCAAATTTTGCAGCCTCCTGGCTTTCCTCCAAAAACCTTTCATTGTTTCACAAGCCATCCTTGTTTTCAATTCATTCTTCTTTATCCACTGTGTAAACTAGGTGGACCTGAATACTTAGGAAAAATCGAAAGCATTTGGTTGTTATTAGAGTAAGGATAGCTGAATCACACATGTGAAACATTAAAGAAACCTTACAAATGTTTGAGTAATTTTTTTTCTGTTGTTGTTGTTTGGGGCTGGGGGGCATTTAACCACATCCTGCCATACACAAAACACTTGAGCTGCTCTCTTTATTACTAGGTAGAGTTTTAGGCTAATAAAACAAACAAGGACAATATTTTTATTTTCTTTTCCCAGCATTTTTATTGTTTTTATTTAAATGTAACATACTATACACTGTTAAGCCTTTTGGGAGGTAGGAGGAGGGAGTGATTCCATATCTTTATGAGGAGTCTTCTTAGAACCAACATTCATATGGACACAAATTTGTGGCTGATGCACCTTAGCTTTGTGGGCCAGAGCCCATACTTTCCACAGAAACAGAGATCCCAAAATCTCAATTTTTTTTTTTTTTAATCTACAACATTCAGGGCTGGAACTGCTTTCCTTCAGTAGTTGCAAAGGGTACCAGAATTCTATTTCAATATCAAGCAAACATGCCATTTGAAAATGCAGGAGAATGTTCTTACTCCTTACCAAACGGTTTCTGTCTTTATCTCTTTGAGGGTGTGAGAGGGAGGATGTAGGAGGTAGGGAGGGAGATGTTTTCTATTTTTGGCCTCTGCAAGCTTTGATATATTTTGCTAGAAGCTATGTTAGAGTCTTGAGTACCATAATGATGACTGTTTACACATAGTCTCTTTGGTAATCTAAATGGCTATGTGAAACAAGAATCCAGTTTGTGCCCTATTTGCTGTTACTGTGGTCATACAATACTATATTTATCTCACCAAACATTTAATTTTGGTTGTGGGTGGTCCGTGTTCATGTGTCAGGTGCAATTATTATTTTAAAATAAAAGAAAAAAGATATCTAGTTCTGATAGGAATGCATTACATTACAGCTCTAAGACTCAGTTACCAATTAAATTTTAACATCCAGATTACAATCACAAAAATTAAACATTTTTAGAATCCCATTTGTCAAAAAGCAAGTTGGAAGCAAAGTACCATGAAATACAACTTAAGCCATAAGCCAAAACACGGTGCCTCAAAAGCATTTCTTTTGAAATATCAACTTTTGGAAGAATGAGAAAAATAAGATCTTTGATGGGATGACTTTATGGGAAAATTACTTAATAAAGCCACTTTTTAAATAACAGATTAACTGGAAGTGCTGGTTAAGCATTGACACAAATAAGTTATAAGAGAATCAAAAACACCAGCCTTTCTAGAGGTTAAACTTTGTTAAAAGACACATTTAGTGACTCTTTTCCTTATACCAAAATACTGCATCCAAACAATAAAAATAAACAGACTTTTTTCAAAACAAGAAATATGAGGATAAAACTGCAGCATCAATATACTCTTATAGTTATCGCTTAAAGTATTTAGAACAAATAATATTTGTCTACATTTTTTAAAATCACTACAGACACTGCAAATAAGGCTTATGTATTTATTTAGTGGAATACAATGTGATGACGACTGGTAAACTCTTATGTACTGTTTTCTATACCTGCTCTAACAAAATAAATTTCATTATGGTTACAATATGGAACCTTCTAAAGCTTTTTAAATTTACAGAAAATAAGTTTTATTTGGTTTTGTAAAGAGTAGATCATACAACTTGAACAGGTTTTAGTACATGGTTACACGTATACCGGGATATATTTGCTCAGTTTAGGCCCCTGGGAGAGTTGCACTTCATACCAAATTCCTTGATTGTTCCTTTAGGGAAGATGCATGATGTGGGACTTACAAAGGGTTCTTATATAGCCAGACGGCCTCTTCATCATTTACCACTGTGATGTATGGCAAGAAATCATTAGTAAATAATGAGGCTAGGATATTAAGTTGTATTTAACAATTAATTTTCCTTCTTTTTGTGTATTCTTAGAGACAAATTGATGTATTGAAAGAGGAGAATTTGGCCTTCTGGTCTATTGCTTAGGAAAGGGAGCCTCAGGAGTGATATATGTTTTTAAATGATGGCAGACATCTCTCACTCAAACCGTGGCACAGCACTGCCATATTTACTGTGGATGGGTCTTACTGCAGAAGTGCAAATGAAGTCAACTGACAGGACATGGGGCGCTCGTATTGCTTTCCTAATCTCATCTCCGATTTTTGAAGTGTTTGCTAAGTTTTAAAAACATTGTCATGGACGTGCATGTGATGTGCTGAAGAAAAGGAAAAGATAAATCAGAGGGCAGCTGCTAAGGATACTCTTTAAAACCCCAAAAGATATTTAACATCCTATTAAATAAATAACTTAGAAAGAAATAGAAAGGGATGAAGGCAGAATGCACAAGCATACCATACTATTCGTATTGTTTGAACAGTTTCACACTAACATGTTTATATTTTTTAATCCTATCCAATTCTTTCATAATGCCACACCCAAAACTCCTTTGGTTGTGCATATACGACCCAAGTGCTTTCCAGTAAATGCTTGCGTGTATTACTGCTCATTGAATCATTAGGCTTGAATGAGCAATGAAAGTCTTTGATATGAGTCTGTATTCCATAAATAACTTTCCCGAGGATCATTCAACAGATTGTTCCATGTCCTTTATGTTCTATCTCAGAAGTTCAAACACGAAAACAAAAACTTGACAAAAACCCCAGCCACAACGTTGTTCATTTGGGAAAAACCTCCATCCCATTTGATCTGCCTGTATCTTGATTATAAGGCATGACACAGAACTATTTAAAAGAACATCATATGTCAGCAGTGAGTACAAAAGCCTTCAAAAGCTTGCTTTTTTTTAAGCAAGCAGACATCTGCAATGTGTCTTTGCTTTTTGAGCTACTGTCTTCATGAAGAACAGCAACTATTCCTGGCAAAAGAGCCTTTGGTTCTACTGCATCCACAAGCATTTCCTTCCTCTATGAGTGTACCACCATTGGAAGAAAGTGAGCTGAGGTGTTTTTCCTTCGTGTTTTCTGTCCTCTCCTTGGAGCTCCTTTTCCATTCAATGCCACATACATTTGCCTCCCGTTGTGCTGCCAGTTAAAGGATGCATAGGTATTATATCCATTTTCCTCTATCCTCTCCTTCAGCTTACAGTCATTGTTAAATTCTTTCTGCAAAGGAAAAACATAATCTTTTATTCCTATGGTGACACTTGATTCCATTTGACCCAGACCATTTAAAGAACTCCAGTTGGAGTTTTGTTTGTAGTTGCCATTTGTACATAAGTTGTGCACTTAATACATAATGTCAACAACAGAAGAGTAAAACTGATGACCACAAAACAGATTCCGTTTGAAAGCACATGATATATTTTAATTGATCATCATAGCCACATATGGAGGCCCTTTTATAAAGCTGTTGTGCTTTGAATATGCAATGGTTGCAGTGCCTAGAATGACTGTCAAGAGGCAGACAACCCACTAACAATATTTGTGATGAATCAATAATAAAGATTATAGTGCTATAACCCTTCTTTCATAGTGATAGCCAGCGGTCCCATGGGAAAAATAGAATGGCAGGAAAAATGTGGGCTTATCAAGTTTGTAAACTTTACCCATAAATTCATAATACATACACGCACATTGATAAGAAGCAGATCTTATAGGAAAACCACAATAGTTCTACATAACTGAAAAGGGAGATGTCTTCCTTGTTTCCAAGTATCAAATTTCTCAATTTTACTAAATTATTTACAATTTTCTATAACTTGAAATTTTGATGGATTTTGCTCTGAATTCTAAGAATGATTAAAAACTAGGACATGGAATTTCTTGTTTTGTGATCTGCCATGTCAAAGAAATGATGAACGTGGTAACTAGCAATGCCTATATTGGATAAGCCTGAAGACTTTGATCCTGGGAAATTCCACTTCATAGCCATACCTCCCAGGCTTTGTTTCAGGTGGCCAAATGGTTTTAAGGAGATCTGTTGGGACAAGGTATCACTCTCATTCACTCCACAAATCCAGGATCTTACCCTGAAGTTAACAAAGGGGAGGTACCATAATGATCTCAACACTCTATTAACACCGTCAGAAATGTCCCTCTTCTCTTATACTCAAGCTAAGGTAGTTAAGAAGCTAAGGAATTGGGGCTTGCATTTTATTTATATCCATTTCCACCTTCTTCATCCAAAGCAAGGGTACTGTGGGCATATTTCGGTTGAGGCCTCTACTGGGCAGTTTTTCTTACCTTGGGACTTTTTGAGATTGCTAGTAAATTCGAAATTCCTGAATGTGTGTATACTTAAATATCCAGGTTTCTGTGGGATTGGTTATAATTTTGAACATCATCAGAGCCATCACAAGCAGTTATATTTTATGTTAATGGTACCAATTTAAGTTTTCTTTCCTACAATTTATCAGTTCTAAATGCTTCTCTTCTATAAAGTAACATTTAAATGTAATACATAAATGATGACTTAATTGGTTGAAAGTAAGAAATAAAAGTAAATTATTTAAGGTGTGGATTTTAATAAAACAAAACAAAATTCTGCATTGGAAAGGAATTTAAATTCTTAATATGGTTAATTTTCACTCTTTTTATTCATCTGTCTAAAACTATATGGTTTTCAAAGCAGAGATGATTATTATTTTAACATTTCGATAAAGGAGAAGTTTTGAGACTAAACGAGATTTGAGATTATTTCAGGTGATTTCATATTTGAGACAAAGCTGTATACAGAAAAGTGGGATGCTTAATTATTTTTCCTTCCCTAAATTAATTTATAGAGTACTGTTTCTTAAAGTGAAGTGTATCTGTATCCACCTCTTCATCTCAAGTGTTTTTTAAGATTTGAGTCATAGCTCAAAAGTATCAGAATCTCTGGAGGAGGGACCTAGGAATCTATGTTGTTTACAGCTACGGTCCCCAACAGCTGGGCCGCAGCCCCATAGCGGTCAGTGCATCACTGCCTGAGCTCCCAGCCTCCACGACCATGGAAAAATTGGCTTCCATGAAACTGAGTAACCTGATGGCACAGCAGGAGGTGAGCGGCGATTGAGCGAAGCTTCGTGGGTATTTACAGCCACTCCCCATAGTTCGCATCACCGCCTGAGTTCCGCTTCCCCGCCACCTCCCCCCCGACAGTCCCAGGGAAAAGTTGTCTTCCACGAAACCGTCCCCGGTGCCAAAAAGGATGGGGACTGTTGGTTTACAGGTTCTAGGCGAATCATAAGTACTGCTGCTAAAATAAAAAAAAATTCAAGCAAGATGTGGATTTTGAGACCTGCTTTGACCAAGGTCTCAAAAGCAGGATTTTGCTCATTTAGAAAAAGTTTGGATTTTTTTCCAGCTACCTGGGAAATTTTTTTGGTCCTTAAATCATGCTCTATGATGGCCCATTTTATTTAATTCAGTTTTATAATTTAGTTATATAATTCCATGAGTCAAGAGAAAACTCAGAATACAACAGATACATTGTTCAGGGAATGAATAATGAAAATGTAAGAGAGATATATAGTTTCCAAAAAAGAATAGAGGGAAATAATTCAAGAGAGAATAGAAATAGAGATGGTTTAATCAATCGGTCTGGGTGGTTGCCCAATTGAGACTTTTAGGAAGCCTTATGGAATCAATGGAAATTATATGAAATAAAATGAAGATAGGAATTACAAAAGTTGTCACCTGGTGTAGAGAATTATATACATTCATAAGTATGTACTCATGAATTTTGATGGTATACTCTGAACAAGCCATAATTTTTCACTATTGCTGGTAGTAATGAAAAATTTCAAAAACAGAACACTATGTTTAGAGAATAGGTTCCTTTCTGAGACAGCCTGGAAGTAGAAAGCATGTTTTTTCTAAAGGACTGAGCTACTAGGAGAGGTAGTTAGGTTTGTGCATTGTATATAACTCTGTGCTCTGCATGGCTCTAAGTGCTGAGCATATCGTGGGAGATAAGGCTGGCCCTGCCCTCCCTAAGGTCACAGTGTACTGGGAGAAGACAGTCAACAACAAACACACTGAGAGAAATCTCAGATAAGTGCCACTGCAGATCATTAAAATAGAGTGATATAATAAAAAGAGACTGGGCATCTACTTTAGATAAAGAGATGGAATGAAATAATTTACAGAGCCTAGCGCTCAAGAGGAAGCATAAGCATAATTCATGAGCTGGGTTGGGGTAGAAGAAAAAAGTGGAGAAATGGGGGGAAAAGTATTAAATATTTTTATGTCAGAGTTCATTTAAGAGTTACGCATTTATTCTCAATGTCATGTCTTTAACTGAGTGTATTTTATCGATTAAAATTATTTCAATCTTTTATATCAATTAAAATCATTTACATTTTCTTCCTTAATTTAAATTAGTGTTAGCTGGCTTTAATTTAAAGCATTGGTTTTTGACTAAGTGTATGTACATCACTATCTCTTTAAAGAATATATACCTGGTCCTCTTCCCCAGTAATTCTGATATAGTAGATCAAGGAGGGGCCCAGTATGTTTAATGAAAAGAAAAGCAAGAAAATGCCTCAAAAGTGATTATGATGTGAACCCCTAAATGGAACCACTTTTTAAAATGGTCCATTACTCGTCTAGGCTCATAACTGGAGCAATGCATAATGGAGAAATTTACCTAAAATTCCTCTGATTCCCCAATTAAAAGTGGACCTGATATGAAAAAAATGCAATTCTATTCTACATCCAGACCAGTGGTTCTCAAATTGTGGTTAGTGAACCAGCAGCATCGGGAACCCCAGGGACCATGTTAGAAAGGCAAATCCTTAGGCCAGGCACGGTGGCTCATGCCTGTAATCCTAGCAGTTTGGGAGGCCAAGGCAGGAGGATTGGTGGGACCAGGAGTTCAAGACCAGCTTGAGCAACATAGTGAGACCCCATCTCTACCAAAAAAAATAGAAAAGTTAGCCCAGCATGGTAGTGTGTGCTTATAGTCCCAGCTACTTGGGAGGCTGAGGCAGGAGAATCACTTGAGCCCAGGAGTTTGAGGCTGCAGTGAGCTATAATGACATCACTGCACTCTAGCCCCAGCAATAGAGTGAGACCCTGTCTTAAAAAAAAAAAAAAAGAAATGCATATCCTTGAACCCTACCACAGACTTACTGAATCGTAAAATCTGAGCATGGGTCCCATCATTCTGTCTTTTAATAAACCCTTCCATGATTCTGATGCATACTCAAGTTTGAGAGCTACTGGCTCTAAACAGTCACTACAATCATCCTTTTGATAATCAACAAAATTTATTTATACATTTAAAGTGAAATTCCTTTTGATCCTATAAACAATGTAAAAATGACACAGAACTGGTTAGTAAAAATGAGAGTATTTAAAAGATCTGTGTCACAGGTTTTATTTCTGGCCGTAGATATTGCTGTATATCCTCCCAAAAAAATGCAGTTAAAATTTTTTTAAGATCAAGTTTATAGCTGGCTTCAATGTATTCCCCTAAAGTAGAATCCAGGGAAAAAAATTAAATTCAGTGAGCATCCCCTTTATCTAGCTCTGGGACTGACACAATGAAATGTACCTACCTGATCCACTCCTGTCATCATTCCAGTAATAATAAAGAAATTGAAATTTTGTTCCCAACTTTACCATAGGGCTGCTATACTACTCCTGGTCTTTCCGTATGTTTAACAATTGATTGTTCTGTGATTATTTCTCACTTTCCCTAAATAAATTATTTGAAGTCAATTATTTGAAGTCAAGGCCCACTTCCTATACTTTTTTCTTAAGCATTTTTTTCTTATGCAACTTTGATATCTCAAACATTATCTGGCATATGGTAGATGTCGATGTGATCGATTGACATATTTCTTTTAAAAACTTAAACAAGGCAAATTGTTGCAGTGTTTATGATTTCATTATAATTATAATTACAATGTTAATTCTAAAATCAGCATTTATTATTTTAAATTAGAGCTTAGGCTAATAAAATTGGTCTAAGTGAGTTTGATCCAAGATTGCAGAGGTGATATTGAAAATACTTAACACTTGGTATGGAACACAGGTATGGATGTACCCAAAGTACTGGCTGGATACTCATTCCACAAGCACTCTGTTGCAAGGGATAATATTTCCACATATATATGATGATTAGGCATGATGTGAATTAATGACTATTGCATAGGTAAATAAAATCTAGAGTTCATTGAATAATATGCAAAATGATGAATTTCTTGATATGTTTCCCCATTTCAGATTTTAACAAAATACAAAACATCTGAGCCCCTGTTTTATCTTCAGCTGCAACACACACATAGCACATGGCTTTCTACTCAATTCAAGATCTTTGTTTTTAATGATTCTTCTCCAAGTTGTCTGCAGCTCCTGTGCCAATATGACCAGATGCTTCCGTGAGCAGTTCAGAACATTCACAGACAAATGCCAGCAACAACTTGTGTGGTAGACTAATGGGTGAACAACAGAGGAGATTATAGAGTTGGAAGAGCTACTTTGCCAGCCCTTGAAACTTTGGTGACCAGCCCACTGTGGCTCTATTTACTAGCAATAGAATGATAACAAAGCTATTTAATGTTTGGAGGAAACATTCCAAAGCTGTGGTAATGATTTACTGCAATGATTTGAAAACAAAAGCGGAATACTTACTGAGCCATAGAGTTTCCCCTTCTTGTTCATGGCTAAGTAATAGTTGCTGTTAATGGCTTTGACGGCAACAACTCCAATTTCCACTGATGTTATCTCCAGGATACCTAAAATATACAATTTAAAAGGCCTAAGTGTAAAGAATCATATAGATTTAGTTGAAAAAAGTAAAATCAAAAGAAACTATTGAGTTTATTTTCTGATGGTTCTAAAAACAAAAAGCTAAAAAAATTGGGAAAAAACCCAAGCAACTTCTTTTGATGTTATCTAAGAACGTACAAATATCTCCAGCAAATATATGGAAACAAGCAGTAAGGCTTTAAAAGAAGTCCACTTCATTTTACTGTGAGCATATATAGGAATATATTGTTTTAATTAAAATGCTTCCTTTGCTAACCCTGCATTTTCAACCCTATAAATATTGAAACAACTCTACTCATCTTAACCTAGATTTCACAATAACTTATCAGAGCCCATATCTGTATTATGGTATTAAATTAAATCTGTAGCATATGTCAATACTATGTCAGATTACTTCAATCAGTAAAAACAGTGGAAAACTATTTTTTTGTTGTTGGGTGCTTGGATAAACTAAATCTCTTGGCTATATTTAACATATAAATCCATTTTTGGCAAATGTGTTGACATTCTGAGATACAGAGGGACTAACGCCAACATCCACACTGTCTTTAAAATAGCAGAATCACTATTCTGGTTTTGGGGAAAATTCATCAACATTTTTTAAAGTTTTCTCTTTTTCTAGAAAGTTTCCCTCTGGAAAACTGAGGGAAGTGGTAACTAATAGACAAGGGGCCTTTCTCCCCTCACACACAAGTTTTGATTGGTGCATCTAAAGATAATTTTCTCTGAAAAGTTTGAAGATAGCTATAAGGAAGGCATTTGATATTCTACTCAAAGGGCCAATCCATTTTAGAGTTAAGAAAACCTTGGAAAATAAAACTACTTATTTTATAACTCTCAGGAAAACTTGCTAAAAGTAGAGAAGCAGCATTGCAATTAGCATGTATCCTCTGGAGGCAGAATGTCTAGGTTTGACTAAATTTAGTTAAAAAAAATAAAATCTCTGCATTTGTTAGTGAATGACCTACAGAAGTCACTGAACTGCTCCAAGTCTCAATTGTGTTTGCAAAATAGGCAACGTAATAATACCTCCCTCATAATCTTGTTGTGAAGATTAAAATGAGATAATACGTATAAAACGATTAGAATTTGCCTAGAGCTTCGTATCTCCATAATTATTGTTACAGGGAAGTTTTCCTTCCACAAAAGGAAACTTCTTCAGATTTTGAAGGAAACCTCTTCAATGGGCTGTATGAATCCTAAATATACAAAATTCCCATTGGCTTAGCCCATAAAAATCTGAAAGTTGATCATAAGTTATCATTTATCATGTATTACCTATCATGAGAAACACCATCCTAAATGTAGTCTACAAATTATATGTTTAAATTCATCCTATATAGATAGAGTGGCTTATTCCCAAGAGATGAATGTCTTCTTTCTTCTTCTTGCTTCACAGGTTAGCCTTAGTGGAGACTAATAGAAATGCTTGAGTTCGCCTATTGCAAAGTTGACATAACCAGAGACTTGTGCTACTACATGCCATGGACCTTTCTGTCCTTATATCTGTAGGAAGCCTCTATCCTAACACAGCGCTCTTTTTTATTAGGACAGAGAGAGCTCACTCTATTTGCAAACCAAAAACCAAGGAAAGATTGTAAAGGGTGAAGGACATAATACTTATATGTTTAACATCCTTTCCCTTATGCTGGTAGTTGCTCCCAAGGTATATGAGCACGCATACATTTATTTGCATATTTTTAAAAGTACTTTCTTGTAGTTTATTTCTTTAATTCACATAGCATTCCTCTAAGGAGGTATTGTTATTCTTGATTACAAATGAAAAAATAGAAGATACTTAAGTTGACTCAGACACAAGGTAACAAGGTGACATAGTTCAGTAATGACAGACCCAACACCTGAGCCTCTGACTTTCAGACCATCTTGCTCTCCATCCTTGACTACTTTTACTTTCCGTCACATCTCCCCACCACCTTCCATTTCCACATGGGAATCCTACTGAAAAACCATCTAACAAAATGACTCATCAAGATAATTGTCTTTAATGACTTAAAGTGCTACTCCTCCCAAGGATAATGGCGTGTCAAAGAGGATGATGTCTCAGTTTCAGAGAACAAAATCTAATATATGTCACAAGCAGAAGATAGAGAGCAAAGTAGGAGGTAAAATTTTGGGTAATATATTTAGGCTGCTGCTTACTTTGTTTGCCCAAGAGGCAAGTAAGTATTATCAGTAAATTGCAAGACATTCCCTATGTATGCTTTTGAAACTGGAATTTAATAGAATGAAAAGGAATGAAAGACTATTTTAAGCAAAGAATAGTCCAAGATTTTTGAAGGCGAATGGAAAGTAGTAGTAATAAATTATAGTGACAGACTTAGTAGGCAGAAGGAAAACATCATGACATAAATATTACCAAATCCTTGACCAATTATTTCCAAGAGTGCACTACACATGGTAGATCACATTTCGCTTAGGTACCCCTGAGTTTCTTTCTGATTTTCCTGAAATAGGAATTCAGTATTCAAAGAATCGATCAACCATTTTTTTCACTCTGCAACTATTTCAGGCTAGCTTAAAAAGGTTTAAGCATTATTGCTTCAAAATAGAAAGAGGGAAGATTTAGATAATTTAAGCCTCTTTCAAATTTTCCAAATAAATTTTTGGATGTATCATATGGACAGTAAGTTATAATTTGATAATCTTGTGGGTAATGGACAATGACTGCATTTATTATAAACATCTGTGAATGTGAAAGTGACTTTCTGTGGGACTGAAGTCTAGAGGGCTTCTCTATTTTTCATGAGGAATCACTCCAGTTTTTTCTGTTCTTTGGTGAGGATGATCAAGTTTGCCTGTCAAATTATTTTTGGAAAGGAGCTCTCGATTTTTTTTTGAGGATTGTTATATCAATGGCTTATAGTTCTCTATATGTATACTTTCATGCATAATTAAATGCCAATTAAAACAACCTCCTGGGGGAAAGTGAGTGAAGAGTATACTGGATCTCCCTATGTTCCTTGCAACTTACATGACTCTACAATTATCTCAAAATTAAAAGTTATTTAAAAAGCACTGTTTTGTTATTCAAAGAAACATGTAAAAATCTCCCATTCATATAAAACATACATTTTAGAGATTTAAAGACATATTTTTTGCAGCAAAATTCTATTACTTATATTAAGTTGTAACTACATCAGTTTTGATGTGTGAATATTCCAGGTAGTAGTGTGAATCTATTTAAGGGCCTTTGGACAGTTTACTTCAAATACTTAGGAAGATATAGGAGGAGAAGGACATTCTTTTAGGAAATGGAAATATAAATTCAAATAACTTATGGCTCTTCTCTTGAAAAGTCTATGTTCTATTGGGAATAAAAGACAAACACACGGAGAATTACAATAAAACATATTACATGACAGTTAAGAAAAACACCATTTGGGGTAAACTGAATTTAAAGACAGTATAGAGCATAAAAATCAAGAACTGATACAGAGTGACTCTCATGTGTCATACACTTTTGTATCTTCTTCATATCACAGTTAATCTGCACAAAATATACCAGATGTAAGCATTATGTCCTATAAATACTGAAACTGAGTCTTGGAGAAATTAAGTGAACTGGTGAACATATAACTACTCAGGTATGGTAGATTTGGTGTTGGATCCAAAGCCCATTCTCTTTCTAGTACTTCACCAAATAAAGTTGACAATAACAAAATAACCAAGACAAGGATAAACACAGTTTTTGCCATTTTAAATACTTTTCTTCATATTCTAGCAAACGCTTGTTTGATCGTTAGATTTCAAAAGTGTTTTAGAGAAGCATAACATTTAGTCAACACAAAGAGGTGAACTTCCATATAGGTCTGTGTAACTAAAGTTTTCCAGCACCCAGACTCTACCTATTTATAAAAAAATAATTTGGCACCTATATCTTTAGGTTCCTGCATTCACATACGGAGATTACTAAGCAAATTTGAATGTTTCTTTGATGACTCAGGGTTATCAGCATTAGCTTTAATGAGTTTCTCTGCTGTAAAAGTAGAATATTCTCAGGAGCAACTGAGAACCTACAGTAAAATAAATGGTGTTAGTAAGCCTGCTGGAATTGTGTCAAAAATACATGCAAAATTCGGTGATGTTCTTTTCTGTGTACAGGACATAAACTTTCGTGTAGAAATCTTAGTATCACTTTTCAAAGGTTCTCAGTTGCATTACAGAGGGTAGACAACTACACAAAGGTGATGTTGCAATTCTGGGGGAAACATAAAAATATGTAATTTTATGTCTATGATAAAATAAATGTAGTAATTCTTCCTATGTTTTAAAAATTACAATAATCAGAGAATTTGCAAATAATATAACTGAGTATAATTTTGCTTCATAAACACTGGGGTAAAAAACATATACAGCAATTATTATTTCAGCCGATAGTTCATTACACCCTTGAATTTGTTGAAAACATGATTCCATTCATGGTTATAGACAATAAAATGTTACTTTACCACCAGGAGGCCCAATGGATTCTAGGTCTCTATCTATGATCACGCCCCACAATACATCTTTCAATATCTAAATATTAATAATCCCATCATAACTAGAAATAATTCAACTAACAATATTTTCACCCTTCTTTAAATGTGAAATAGTTAAATTAAGTGAAGCATCAAAACTTTAGGGTGCTGTGAACTCCCACACAGCACAAAGGACCTCTTGAATACTGTGCTAAGTTTATTATTATGGGATAATAAACTTCAATCTGGCTTTCACCTACACTAGGCTGTGTCCATAAAGGTGACCCCCCAGATCCCCTACTGAGCCTTTGCTAAAGAAAACTCAATGCTGCCAAAATGCCAAAGGTACATTGTCCCAACTCACCCTGCCAAACCACTGTCAGTATTTCTCCACTTCCCCTCTGTAATTTTCCATTTCCACATAGCCTCTAGTCCCTTTTGTATCCCCCCATTTTCACTTTCCTATATTACCTTTTTGTTCCCTATCT